ACGGAAGTCACTGAGGGGGATTTTCAAAATTCAGAAAGAGATCAAATTAGATAAATGCTATAAGTATTCACTGATAAGAAAAAGATAACTGGTCACCTTAATTATGTTCAACAGTAGGATGACAGGATAAAGAGTTGGTAGAGAAGTAGATGAGAAACAAAGAAGTCTGAATGTGGATGATGCATCCCAGAATTTTTACAAGGTGCTAGTCAGGGTGTGATCTCCAATAGAATATGCAATCTCCATGGTGCTAAGCATGTGTGATCTCAAATATACATACACTTACACCTCTCAAATGCCAAAGAAGCAGATAGGTTTGTCCTAGTGCCTTAAATCCTGCTTGTAAATCAATTGTGTCAATCCTTTCCTATTACTGCGGCCATCCCCACGTGCACAAGGCATTTTACTAAGAAGTGAAAACGCAGCCCACCAGCAAGGCATCTGGGCTGTACAGCATCTGGCAATCAGTTGGAAGGACTTTGTTGCCACCGAGCTGATTGGCAGTTCAAGGCCATCCCTAGTCACCCTTTAGTTCCCAATGGTGGCAAAGCCTGTTTTAGATTTAAGTCCCCAGGTTTGCAGGGCTCCTGGAGAGCAACCTGAGTTTTGAATAAATGAGCTCTATGGAAGTTCATTCTGGAAGTGCCTAAGTTGACTAGGTGTCTTGCCTGTGTGCCAAGAAATTAAATGCGAAAAGAGGAGACCAGAACTATTGCTGTGTTGTTTTCATTTACTTAATGTATTTATTTCATCTCTAGTAGCTTTTATGGCAGGCACCATCCCCTGGTGCTAGGCTGGTGAGGATCTGCAACAGATAGAGTAGTTAACAAAACAGACAAATGTCTGTGCCTTCAAGGGACTCACATTTTAATGGGAGAGGGGGAACCACATTAACACAACAAGTAAGTAAGATATTGGTATGATAGACGGTGAAAGAGCTTTGGTAAAAAAGTAAAGCAGGAAAGGGGTACTGAGCTTTTGGGGGGAGAAAGATGAAATATTAACTAGGAGAGTCAGTGAGGGTTTCACTAAGAGAGTTAACATTTGAGCAAAAACCTAAAATTGAGGGATTAAGCCATGGAGCTATGGAGAAAGGGTATTTCAGGCAAAAACTAAACAAAACAAAACATTTTTTGGTGTGCAAATGCCTGGTATCTTTTTGGAACAGGAAGGAGACTACAATGGCTGGAGAGAGACAAATAGAGGAAAGTGATGAGAGATGGTATCAGAGACACAATGGGGGAGAGAAGACAGGAGAACCTTGGCCATTGTGAGGACTACATGGAGTGATTTTGAACAGGAAAAACTGATTCTGGAGTTCTAAGGGGCTCTTCATTGAGAAAAGACATCTTAAAACATATCATCTTCTTATCTGTCTACCCTTTCTTTCAAGGGTGGTGTTTCTGCAAATGACTTCTCTGATCCTCTTGGTTCCATCATAGGAACCCTTCCTTCTCGAACACTAGAGAAACTGACCACACACTTCTCTGAGAATGAAGAGGCATCTTCAGAAGATGCACTACTTGTGGCATCCAGAAAGACCAATGGTAAGAACAATGTGGAAATTTGAAATAAACTTTTCCAGAGCTGGAGGAGAGAATAAGGCACTGAAATCAGCTTCTGTGTTTCTTAGTAATACATTCACTAGGAAAAAGACAGCTTTCACACGAGAATTTTTAAGATAAGCTAAAACCTTCACTGCTCTGCAACTAAAATACTACCCAATAAATATCATCTCCTGAAACAGAATATAGTTCTTTGGGCAAAGGAAGACAAGAAACATTGAAGAAAATTAAGCTCTCTGTGGTTGTTTCACATAATTTTTTTTAACCATTCATATTATTGGGTTACCTTTTAGTTGTCTTTCTGAAGTGATCTTTTCAACTGAAGTTTATATATTATGAAGGTTCACAGAGAAGTAAAGAGTGAGGAGAGTTAAGTAAAACGAATCTGGTACCACTATCACAATGGTGGCCACACCTATCAGAATCAGCACAGGGTTTTTATACAATGTGCAATCACAGACCTGGAAACCTGGGTTTTCATCCTGACTGTGCTGTTAACTTGCACTTTACTATTTAAAGTAAATACTTTACTATCTACCATTCACTGGAACATAGTTCTTTCGCCTGTATAGTAAGCAGCCAGATGGACAATCACTGTAACTTCTCTTGTTAAGGACATCTATGAAAATCAGCTGCCATGGATAGAGCTGGGTCCAGGTTCTCTAAAAGTTTCTCCCTGTTCAGTAATTTGTTAGTCAGAGATGTTAATTATATAGCATTGTACCCCCTTCCCCCTTTTTCCCATGGGCATTACAAACAGACCACAAAACTCTGTCCTCTTGAGTCAATCAGAACTCAGAGGTGGTCAGAATTTTTTTTTTTAATTTCTTTTGCATAGTGACTCAAGCAATCATGACCAAATGACTGGCGATGACACTCAAGTTGTAAACAGCTTGCTACCTTATCATTAGGAGAATGACTACATTGAAGCCGACTGTTCCTAGTACAGCTAAGAAGAGCGTTCACATCCTGGAAGTCAATTTCTCCCATCCCTAAAGGGTTCGAACATTGTCATCAGTTCTGCCAGCATAAAGTAGCCGCTGTTACCCTGGGTATAATCAATTGGATCAATTAGCTTTTCAGCCAAAGAGGCCTGAATATATAGAATTCATTTCCCTTCTTTATAAAGCCAGCTTCTATCCTGAGAGGAGAGTCTTCTGTAAGAGAGGCAAACTCAGACATTCAACAAGTAGAGACAATCAGTGACTTCTTGATCTTTGTTCCCACTCACTCACTTTCTTATTACCCAAACTTGCAGGAGCTTAGATCAAGAAATTTGGTTTGTTTCAGTTCTAATGAAAAGTCCTAACAATGTTATTTAGACAACTGATGAACTTTAATCTGATGACAGCTTGTGACCCACAAATAGCTGTTTCAATTAAAATGCATTCAAAATGAAACTGGAAGGACAACCACAATATTAAACTTGCAATCTGCTGTGAAAAACACCTACCAGAAGCATTATATTAAATACGATTAATTTCTACAGAGCATCTTCCAGCTGAAATCTGAAGATAGCCTTCAGTGCATTGCCTTACTAAATTCAAATTGGTTAAATTTTTTTTTTTGCAAGTTAAGAAGTCAAATTAGAGATGGATTGGTTTGTCTGTGGTAATACACTCTTTGGCGGAGCTCCAGGTATAATCTAGAGCTACAGACTTCTAGGTTTTTCCTCTGATGAACAACAGTCTTCTATTGCCCTCATCCCAAATGTTCATCTACAATAAAATTAGCAATGTTTTCCACCTGCTTAATTTTTATGTACGCTTTTAAGCTACAGTTACTCAAGACATATTCATAAAGTTATCTTTAGAAACGTTATACATTCATTTAAAAAATTAACTACACTAATAGTTTTGACAGATCAGCTACATCATTCCTAAACTTCATAGGAATTGAGGTGGGTTTTTTTTTTTTCAGGATGAATGTTTGTTTCAGAGCTATAATTAAACAATAATGTAAATAAAACTCAACGAGTATGTTTTAATCTCATCTTTCGACATTAAAGAATTGTACGTGATAATGAAAGAATTCACTATAACTGTTTGCAAACAATTCAATGACCAAGTCATAGCTATTCGCTATTTTTCAAAAGGTGCCAAAGAATTATTGAAAATTCCACAATGTAACATCATAATTATAACAATTAATATGTATACTTCATTATAGCCTAAATGTTCCTATACATTACTTGTTCAAGAAATTTACAATACATTAAAATAGCATTAGCTAGAAATAAGAAAGTACCATACTTCATTCTCATTGCCCACAGAGAAAAGGATCCACCCACTCTTTTCAAGAGATAGCACAAAAACTGTAATTTTGCACCCATTATTTTTATTCGCTACCCCTGGGACACAGCACATACTCCACAAATGTTGGTTGAAGGAATGAATGAATATGTGCTGCTGGGTGGCAGGCAGACTAAGGGAAAACACACAGTCTTTGACAGCGACAGGACTACTGCATGGACAACTGCTGTCGCAGTAGGGTTTCTAAAATCTCTCTGCCATATTCTATTTTGGTGCATGTGTGTATAAAAATGATAAAGGATTCAGTCCAGCAAGTCCTTGCATTTCATAGAGGCTGCATGTAGCCAAAAAGCAGGGTCTGTAAGTGACATCGCATATGAAATTCCCCAGGTACTTCCTAAGGTTTGCTTCCACATGAAACCTGGTACTGGTTCTGCTATCAAAAATATTTGTATCTGGGAGTCAGTCTCACTGTCACTCTTGGCTGGACCTCATCAAATCTGTCCCAGGGACAGTGCCTTCCCCACTGTATTCAGCTTTAAAACTGTGATTGGGTTTTTGTCTAGTGCCCCGGGAACCCGACCGTGATGCTGAAAGAGAAGAGAGGGTCCTATTTAAAAATCTTTCGTTCCTCTTATTGGTTTAGAAAATTCGACTGACAAGAGCAGGGGCCAAAGGAGCCCGGAGCGGCATCATTAATGCGAATCGTGTATTTGGATCTTTTGGGCGGAAATGTGGTCCATCAGGTTACAGCCAATGCATCCCCGCGAGCTCTCGCTAAACCAAGAGACCTTGTGGATGTAGCCGCTGCAGTAGAAAAGGTTACATCCAGCAGGATGTCTTGTCTGTCTCCGGAAAATTTGGCAGTCAAGTGCAGAGCCCAGAAACAGGCTCTGGGAGTCTAGATGGAGGAGAGGGGTGGGGGCAGCAAACCTGTATCCGTATTGAAAACGTTCACTGTTAATCATGCAAGGTAAGGAAAAATCAGGAGCTGATTTTAGCTTAAGTTTTCTACCTCAGTCTTCCAACAGGTGCATGATTCCCTCACCCCTTCCCGGTCACTCCTGTCCTGCTTTGCCTTTCTAAGGCTTTCCTTGCGAGGCAAGCTTTTCCGAGAGTCCCCAAGCATGTGCAGCCGCCCATCTCACCCACAGCTCCGGCTCTGCGCCCGGCCACCTCTTACCTGCAGCGTGAAGACTAAGCAGAAGCAGGCACAGCGCAGGGAAGCCGACCGCTCTCCGCATAGTGTTTGCATCGAGAGGCGGAGGAGCAACTCCGCCACGACGCCCCTTCAGGCCAAGTGTTACTGGAAGGAGCCCCCGCCAAGTGTCCCCGGGTCTCCGGGCTTCATGCCCAGGTCCCCGGCTGGGGCGGGCAGGGCGGTCTGCGGCGCCGACAGGAGGAAGCACCGGCTTCGCCTCCGTAGGAGAGGAGGAGAGGCAGAGGCGGCGGCGGCGGCG